CGACTGATGATTATTTTAAAGGGATTATCTAGGAACACCTGGCTGACTTAGTCTGTGGAGTGTGCAACTCCTGATCTTGATGCTGTGAGTTCGAGCCCCACATCAGGTATAGAGTTTACTTAAAAATGCATATATTTTTAAAAAATAGCCTTTTTTGCCTCTGCATCTCTGTGTGAGCAAGACGGGTCACCAGCAGCTCTGCTGGACTCCGCCCTAGGGAAATTCGGCCAGGGTTCTTGTTCTTTTTTTTTTTTTTAAACAGTTTTTTTTTAAAAGGTTTATTTATTTATTTCTTTGACGCAGAGAAAGAGAGATCACAAGTAGGCAGAGAGGCAGATAGAGAGAGAGTGGAAAGCAGGCTCCCTGCTGAGCAGAGAGCCCAATGCGGTACTCGATCTCAGGACCCTGGGATCATGACCTGAACCGAAGGCAGAGGCTTAACCTGCTGAGCCACCCAGCGCCCCAGGGTTCTTGTTCTTGCCATGTCTCCTTGAACCGGTACCATCTGATCCAGAAGTATGGCCTCCCTATGCGCCATCACTGTGTCCATCAGTACGTCCATCAGTGTGTCCATCGGTACGCTAAGGAAATGGGCTTCATGAAGTGGATTATGTGACCCTCCTTGATATCTGTCCTTCCAAGATACCTGCCTTAACTGCAGCTATCCATGGTGCCTACCTTAATGCCAACTCATTGTACGTAAGATAAAAGTATTTCAGTGATGAGTGTTCCAATGTGAATAAATAAATAAATATAAAGAGAGCATCTGATGTGCAGCACAAGGAAGGCAAAATGAGAGTCAGGGCTGAGCGTGTAATGAGTATAGATAGTTGGGTCTACCCCCTGGGTATAGGCAAACTGATAACAAATAGAAACCGATTTTTGGATTTTGTGTGAAAATCTCCTTGCTGGCCCCAAAAGCTCTCACTGACAATCAGCTGTAAGGTAGAAACAATTTATGTGCCTTTTACAGTATGTACATAATACAGCAAAGATATGTTCTGGAATATCACTGATAAACATAAAAATATGAATGACTTAAAAGAGAATGGTTTAAGATGATTCCCATAATAGATCTTGTTTGTAGCAAAATGAGAAAGTTTTGATTTGGTGTAGATTTAGCTCCTTTGTAGGTTTTTTTTTTTTTAAATTCATATTTGCTACTGGCTGATCCCCAGATACTGTTCCCACAGGCTTGTTTTTTTCCAAGACAAGATGTCTGACAAGTCTCTCCCACCTAGGGCTGTCCTCCAAACTGTTAACAACGATCTTTCTAAAAAACACCAATCAGTAGATTTCGTACTTAAAAACCTTCAATGGATCCCTGTTGCCCACAGAGTAAAGTCTTGGCATTCCCAATCTACCATCATTTAGCCCTTACTTGTCCTTCCTGCCTTACCTCTTATCACCCACCATGCAATACACACACACACACACACACACACACACACACACACACACACACACCCCAACAGCATACGCCCAATGTTTCCCCCATCATAGAGGCTACTTTCTTTTACTGACCAGGCCCTGCCTCCACTCTCTGATATTAATGGTTTTGCCCAACACAACCCTCAGCTCATTGGGTTCCGCCATGGTCCCACCCAATCTTCGTGGTGTTGACTGTATCCCAGTTGTTCTGAGAAGTCTTCCCAGATCCTTCTAGTTGGAATTTTTCTCTCCCCACGGTGTTTTGCTTGTGCCTTTGTCTGAGCCCTTACTACCTTCTGCCAAGTATCTAGTTGGTTTGTCTATCGGTCCATTTTCCTTGTCAGACTGTGGGGTTCTGAAGGCAGGCCCTGAGTCTTTCTCCAGCCTTCCGGCTCCACACTTGGGACACTGTAGGCTACCATTAAGTTTGTTGAATTAAATTGGGTCATATTTTCCTTATCCAGGAATATATCCACATTTATTTTTGACCCAAACCCTATTTCCTCTGTCTGCCATAATGCTTCATTGTCATGCTAGGCTGTCCCCTTCGTCTCGAATCTCCATGATGGTGGCCCACTGCTGATTTCTTCAGGGAAATTGAAGGGACATAATTTTCCTTCTCAGTCCCCAAACCCAGAGCTCTTTTCGGGATTGCACAAAGCTGAATAAGGGTACTCAGTCAAGTACGTGATCACTTTTATGTGGAAACACTGACTTTTCTCATGCTCTTGAGTTCTCTTTGGCAATATATATTTTACTAATTGAGGCGACTTTTTTTTTTCAAGAAAAGTATCCATTACTACTTAATCATTACAGTTTATTTGATATGCAAAATTGTTCAAAAGACAGTATAGCTTCATGTGAGGTTCCGAGTCTGACCCGCATTCAAACAGCCCCTCTTTCACTTACCAGCTGTGTAAATATGGGCCAAAAAAGGAACCTGAGCTGGAGCTTCCTCGTCGGTAAAATGGGAATTATAATGCCTACCTCGCAACATTGCTGAGAAGGTTAAATTAAATGAGATAATGTATATAAATAGCTTAGCACAGTGCCCGGCCCACGATGAGGACTCAGTAACTGATCGCCATTTTTCTTTTTCTGGTCATTATTTATTTATTTTTATATATATATTTTTTCTGGTCGTCATTTTTATAACTCCAAAACATAGGGTCCAAGAGACAGAAATAGAAAACAAGGTCTTTGGTGGCAAAGAAGATTCGAAACTTCTGGGCTTAGCTTCTGCTAGGTTTACCGTAACTGCTCTAGGATGTGAAGCTGTCCAGTGTTCAGGGATTATTTGAGGAGCAAGATAAATAGCACAAGGGCTGAGTGGTCACGTGAATAGATGTTGTTTCATCTTGACGTTGGACAAGGGGCATATCCGGAAAAGGAATCCGAAAGCAAGGCTAAGAGTTCGCTCATTCAGGTCAACCCTAAAAATACTCTGCATTGAAGTTGAGAAGTCGCCTCGAGACTCAAGGCTGGGCTTTCAACAGCTAGAGCCATATGTGTTCTCAACTTGGGTGAAACCCGATCGTGACCTGAGCCTGTGCTGACCTTGGCCTTCACTTGTGCGCTGCGCGCAGTTCACCTTTCTGAGAGAGAGGTCTGACTTCCAAATAGAGCACAGCTCTTTGTTCTCCTCTTCTTTTTCTTTTCTTCTTGTGTATTTATTTTGTGGGGAGAGGAAACCCAGATTAGAGTCAGCCGAGTCGCTTTTCCCTGAGTAAGAGCGTTCTCTGGAAAATCTGATTTGAATTCTTCTTGGCACTCCGGGAGAACAACTTTCTCAGCTGTAGAGAAGCAAAATGTAGTCAGATTCGTATATATTAAAAGGTAGGACACGGTTTCTTTGTACAGCAATGAAAACTAGAGTTAATCACAAAATAGAAACCTAATTTGTACTAAATATGACAAAAGAGGGAAAACCTTAATACCCATCAGCTACAGGGGTGCCTGGGTGGCTCAGTGGGTTAAAGCCTCTCCCTTCAGCTCAGGTCATGATCCCAGGGTCCAGGGAGCCTGCTTCCTCCTCTCTCTCTCTCTCTGCCTGCCTCTCTGCCTACTTGCAATCTCTGTCAAATAAATAAATAAAATCTTTAAAAAAAATACCCATCAGCTATGAACTGTCATGCATTAAGAAATATAGTTAGTAAACTAAGAGAAAAAGTTGATCTGTATAGGTATCAAACACGTGCAATTAAAGAAACCTTGATATATTATCTTAGGCTGACCGTAAAATCTTGTTCCAGTTGAGGCCGGAAATTTCTTTCCCTCATCATTGCTGGGGGCCGCCAAAACTACGGTAGCCCTTTTTGGACCTTGCAGCCTGCTCTAACCGTTGCCAGCCTCCCAACAGCCCTGGTCCCAGGCCCTGCTCTGTGTGCGTCCTGGCCCAGCTGAGTCCTCACACTTTCTTCCTGTGACTTACTGCGTGTTTCATCCCTTGTAAGAGGAGCCCTTCCTTCCCCTTCCTTCCTTCCCTCTGCAGCATCCCAGTCATTCCTCTGGGCCTGTTGCTCTGTATCTCAGTGTCCCCAAGGGATCCTTCCGGCTCCGCTGGCCACAGGACAGTTGGCTGGTGAGGGCACTCACATCACACCCCCTTCCCAAGCTATTGAAATAGAAACACTGGCAACTGAGTCTAGAAAAGCCAAGGGAGTCGATCTGAGTTCTAAATCTGGACAAACAAAGCTGAAGGAAGCTGACCTCTGGGCCAGGACTGGCCATCTTGGATTTCCTGAGAAACCACCATCTACTCAGATGTGCCTTCTGAGAGACATTTGCCTTAGGCCAGCACCAACATCTGAATTTCTTTTCAGAATCTTGAACATATTTCATAAATGGAAGGTGGTCAAAGAAGGAAAGCCCTTACCCGTTGGCCTCTCCTTGGTCTTTGCTTGATATCAGTTTAAATCCTATGCATTAGGTCAGTTTTGCTGTGTGTGTGTGTGTACATGTGTGTGTTGAAGAGGGGGGGACGAAAAGACAACATAAATCAAAAAAGAAATATTTGGGAAAAATGAAACCACTTTCAATGGCAAACTACCCTATCTTCGATTCTACTTCAAGCGAGGTTTCAAGGAGAAAATCTGGGGGCACAGGGCCCAGGAGAGGCACACTGGGAGTCTACACCATCCCCCCGCCACCGCCACATCCCCACTGACACACAGACACACAAAGGCACACACAGAGTGCATCCACCCAACACCTTACATTTCCATACCAGTGAGATTTGGTGAAAGTGACCTTCAGGCACAGCCTTGCCTGGGGGGAGACTGCGGAGAACTCCTGACCTGCACCGTGGGGTGTGGGTGGGCGGAGCCGAAGGACAGAGGGGAGCAGCCAGCCTCTTGCCATTGGTGCCTCCTCTGGAAGGAGCCCCTCTAGCCATCTCCTTCCTCTAACGGACACCCCACGCACCCAGCCCTAGCTCCTTCTCAGCCAGAGCCCTTCCTTTCCGTGAAAGCTGGGGCACCCCAGCGGTCCAGACCACTTAAGCTATGACTAGCGGACCCCCGAGGCTGTGGGACATCCCAAATTTCAATTGCTTCTTTTCTTTTCGGCAGAACTGGCTTATGATCTGGATGTGGACGAGGCGCCTGGAAGCAAGCAGCACGTGAATCAGAAGGACAACGAGATAGCAGCCTCTCACAACCTGGGGAACGGCCACTCCCCGCTGAAGGTTCTCACCAGCTTGGCCATCTACGTGGTGGGCTTCTTTCTGCTGGTGCACTGACTTCCTAGTGCACGGCGCCCGTTCTGCCCAGCGGCACCCGTGTTGCCCGGCGGCACCCGTGTTGCCCGGCGGCACCCCGTGGCCTTCCTCTGTAAAGGGAGCCACCTTCTTATTTTTTTTCTATTTTTTTTTATCTTGTATACCTCCAGCCATCAAGTAGAAGACCAGCTGTGTGTTGTGTTTTCGAAAATCAGTGGTGTCTTTGAGGGAGGTAAATTTTAGTGGTAGCATAGATCGTCTTTTTGCAAAGAAAAAAACTCAAGTTGTGCCAAATTATTTTCCTATGTTTGGTTGCTAGACCATGGTTACCATGTCTCCCTTTCTCTTTCTCTCTTTCCCTTTGCATGGATTTCTTTGGAAAAAAAAAATAAATGTTCAAATAAAAACGCATTGGGTCTTTTTTTGTAAGCCCTCGTGTATGGTGACCATGCAGTGCTTTCCCCTCCTCTTGCCTAGCTTTCTGTTCAGTATGGAAAAATCCCATCGGGCGTCGATAAGGTCCTTCAATCCTACTTCCCGGCCTGCCTGTCAGTGGTGGATCAATCCTCACTGGAGCCCCAGACAAACCCCCCCCACAACACACTCCCAATGCCTAATCTTCATGTGGAAATCTTGAGTTAGAGTGTTCTTGCCAATGAACAAAAGGTATCTCGAAAAGTTCCGTTGCCTCCTCTTTATTGGGCTGAAAATACTTGCCCCAAAGAGAAACCCTCCATGTGGCTTGTCGTCTGTCACCCTTCTCCAGGGACAAGGCCATGGCAGGACCAACAGTCGCTCTGGGTCAGATTGCAAAAGTGGGCATCGGGAAAGCCATGATTTAGAGGAAGCAACCGCATCCACTCTTAGCTACAGGTGGGTTTCTTCGACACGTGTATCCTCAACAACGAGGTTTTGTGTACTGTTGCCCATTTGGTACTGTACCAGATGCTGGAAGCAGGAGAAAACAAAGATTTGATCCCCGTTCTCCTGGAGCGGACAGTCTGGCACCAACACGCCATACCAGCTCTTTGCCGATTGGAGGCTGGTTATTCCCATTGAAATCAGGGTTTATACACCCAACGTTACAAACCATAGTGGCGCTGATGTTGATCTCTGGACATGCTGCTGCCAAAGAACCTGAGGAATAACCAACTTGCTACTGTTACAATGGCTAGCATATGGCTCATTTGCCAGGTCAGGTCAACAGAAACGTTGTTTTTTGGTTTTTGTTGTTGTTGTTTTCCAACAGAAATGTTATTGATTCTTCCCAATGAGCAGGAACTCAACTCCTACCTGAGGACAAGGATGGGAGAAGCTGAATGAGTATGAGAAAGAGAGGGTGAGCCACAGTGAAGGAGTGTGAACAAAGGTCAAGGAAGGGACCGGAGAGTCTCCTTTGATTCTAGAAGGTGGTCCCAGCCAGGATCTCCAATTTCCGTCCGATGGCCAGAGGTCACCATGCCAGATGCGGGAGGTGTCATTACTCACAACTTATCGATCCCCCCTCCTGCTGTCACCAAGACACTTCTGGCACGGTCCCATGCAGACCACAGGGCTTCGATATTTATTTTCGTCCTCTGCAGAAATTCTCACAAACACAAATTGGAAACGTTTGGTTTAGTGTTTCCTTCCATCGCTTTCATTGACAACTACAATCAGTTGTATTTGTTAATGTGATTTCAGTGACTTGTAGTGATTGGTAAGACTGGAAAAGGAATTATCTTTGTTTTTCAAACCGTCATCACTTCTATGTTTCAATGGGATTTGTGCGAATCTTGGTTTTTGGAATCAGGAGACCTAAATATGGGCCAGGTTTGCTCCTGGGCCCCAGAGTCTGGTATTACAACAGTATGGGGGCCCGAAGAAAGAGCTAGAGCTGATTTCTCCCCTAATAATCGTCCCTGTCATTCTGCAGGAAGGTTTTTATTTAATATGGCAAAAATAATTAATGTTTCTGAGACCAGGTTTTAGGCCTGCAGGGAGGAGAGGACTGTTATAATGTCCATTCTTCCTCTCTGGAGGCAAGAGGGATTATCAGCTTTCATTTTTTTATATGTTTGTTTTTGAGATTTGATTTTGTTTTATTATTTTCTTTTTCAAGAGGGAAGGGCAGGGGCAGAAGTGGAGGGAGAGAAAGACTCCTGAGCAGGCTCCCCCTGGTAAATCAGAAAGTCAGGACCAGATGCGAAGCTCTTTATTGTTCCAATTCTGTAGCATCATTGTCTTACCCAGCACTGGTAACACATATGTGCTGTTCCCATAGGCTTCTCAGGACCTCTCTGGCCTGCGGTCATATTTGACATACTTCAGTGCCCAGAACATGGCCCGAGCCAGCCAGTGTTGGTACAGCTAAATGGTTGGGGTGAAAATGGATAACCATACCCCATTACAAACCATGGACCACTCCACTATCTTTTACCAACACTTCATTTTACCCAATACCCGGTCTTGTTTCACTTTCCATGCATGCCGTTCCCTGCCCTTCCATATTTTTTCTTCCTCTAGTTCAGAATCCAGTTTCACAGCCAGTTAGTGGCTTTTCATTTTTGAACTGTATATTCTACCCCCTGATTTAAACTTCCTACACGTGAATTTGGGGAAGATGACTATTTTGTCCCTAGAATAGCCCTGGCAGCTGGAAAGTTGTCCCATCGTGTTGGAAGTTTCCAGGCTTCCTTCTCATCTGAATGCACGTGTGAACCTCCAGCAGCTCAACTATGGCACTTGAACAAGGTTAAATCAGGGCATAACCCTTGGAATCCCTAGCCTGGAGAACACCTGCTGGCTCGTCCCGCCATCTTGGTTTGATGACTGCCTGAGGCAGGGCTCTCACGGGCTCACCGAGCAGGCCATCGTTGCTGTCCAGCAACATTGTCCAGCCCATTGTCCAGCCCCTGTTGCTGGACACCTCCAATTTTTAGCAGATTTATTTTTTTCAAAAGGAATACATATAGACAATAAGAATTCTAATAATAAAGCATTATATAACGTTTTTAAAAACCACATATATTCCATAATTCCAACCCCCATAGATATGTATTATTAAAGATTTCATCTATATCCTTCTAGGCTTTCTTTCTCTGTGTACGTATATTCACACCCATGAGCTTATACCAAATATACAATTTTGTAACGTGAATTTGGCCTCATTAGGTTAAGCCTAAATCTGCCTTCCTTGAATTTTCACCCACAATTCCTGGCTTCCCCAGGAAGGCCAGCAGGAGAGGAAGCTGATCTTCAACGCTAGTTTTCAATCACTGACTCTTGCCCCTTTCTGGATTTGTTTTCTTGGTGTCGTTCCAAACAGCTCCTTCGGCCCGGTCAGGCCTGCTCCGCACTCCGGCGGGTGTGGTCCTCCTGTGCTGTCCTGCTGGTCGCTGAGCCCACAGGGCCGCTGGAGCCCGAGCACAGTGGAGCCTGGGGGTTTATGTTTCCACAGAAGCCCAAGTCCTCCCCCAGAGCAGTCCTAGAACTCGGACACTTGCTTGGAAGCCGCGGTACACACTGTCTGGAGGGTGAACTGGGGGCCACCTGGACCCCCCCAGAGGTTTGTGCAAGAATGGTGGCCAAGCCGAGTCTCTTCTATCCCCTACTTGTGTCACTGATTTTTTAACTTTTGATTTTACTTGTCTGTGTATTGGGGCAGACACTATACACCGTGTGTGTGTGTGTGTGTGTGTGTGTGTGTGAGAAAGAGAGCGAGAGAGAGAGAGTGTGTGTGTATGTGTGTGTGAGAGAGAGAGACTGAGAGAGAGAGAGAGTATGTGTGTGCAGTGTGAGTGTGTGTGCGTACTAGGGTGGAGACACCTTTTTCTTGCCAAGGCCACATGTTTGAAAGTCCTCTTTTGAAGTTGCTCTCGAGCCAGTTTATGTACCATATACAAAAATTAGCCTCGTTTCTTTATAGTCACACCTTGTTTGGAACCAAAAATAATGTTCTTCAGCTTCGTCACCCACCTCATTCACGAGATTTGCTGCCAAGTGGCTTTTAGCTGTTTCCAAAAATCAAATCTGCCTCCAGGAAACAAAGGCCTTCCTGAGAAGATTCCAAAGAATGTGCTATGGGCTATGGAGGGTTTTTTCCCAAAGAAAAGTTCTAGAGAATTTGAAGACAATGTCTCACTGGTCTGGATACAGGTCTGCTAAGGAACCAACAAAATATGCTCATTACTTGTCATTCACTTTTCTATATTTAGAAATGAATATATTGACTTTGATTCACGGTAAAAATAGAATACAAGGGGCCCTTGGGTGGCTCAGTCATTAAGCGGCTGGCTTTGGCTCAGGTCGTGATCCCAGGGTCCTGGGATCGAGCCCCGCATTGGGCTCCCTGCTCAGTGGGAAACCTGCTTCTCCCTTCCCCACTCCGCCTGTGTTCCCTCTCACTGTGTCTCTCTCTGTCAAATAAATAAAATCTTTTTAAAAAATTTTGAATACAAGGCTGGCATGCCATTGGTGTTTAGTTGATGTTGATGAATGCAGTATTCATTATATAAGCATTTATTTAGCAAAGCTTTGTGCCAGACCCCGTGTCATGTGGGTTTCATTCACATCTATTGAAGGAGACAGGCAAGAAATCATGGTACAGGGGGCGCCCGGCTGGCTCTGTTGGTGGAGTGTGAGACTCTTGATCTGGGGGTTGTGAGTTTGAGCTCCACTCTAGGTGTAGAGATGACCTAAAAATAAAATCTTAGGGGCACTGGGTTGGCTCAGTTAGTTAAGTGACTGTTTTCGGCTCAGGTCATGATCTCAGAGTCCTGGGATCAAATCCTGCATTGGGCTCCCTGCTCAGCAGGGAGTCTGCTTCTCCCTCTCTCTCTGCCTGCTGCTCCCCCTGCTTGTACTCTGTGTGTCAAATAAATAAATAAAATCTTAAAAAATAAAATAAAATACAATCTTTTATGTCCAGTGTTTGCATAAAGCATAGAAGATAACTTGAAGAAAGTGTCAAAGTTGTCAAGATTACCAAAGGGGCAGAGTGTCTCAGGCAGAGCAGCAGGACCTGGGTCCATAGTGGACCA